TTTTTTGAAATCTTGTTCATCTAAAATAGGGGCTATCCCCCATTTTCCCTTAAATTTCCCTCCTAACCGATTCTCGATCGCCACGGAATTCGGCGAACGAAGAACGAGGTTTTCTTCTACATCCTCCTCCATCTTTCGAACATCCAACCCCCCTCCAATCCTCGATTTTCTCGAATTGCTAGTGAATCGTTTCGAACCCGACCTACTAACCGAACCATCGACTAAATGGACCTCATTCGTCTCCGGGACACGTTGTTTGAGGCTCCGAACGGGTAAAAGAAGAGGCTTTCGGCTAATTTCAGAAGTAATTACATTACTGCCATTATCATCTTCCCCAACAAGAGGGGTTTTTTCAGCAACTAAAACAAGGGGTTCCCCTCTGTAATACATGGAATTCGATGTCTGAATCGTGTTCTCTTCTATTACAGTACTACTACTAGGGTTTTCGGGTTCATCGTCGAAAACCGACGAAACCTGGAGAATTCTAGAAACATATGATTGTGCATTATGAATATCATTTTCTCTCTCATCATTTTTCTTGCTGAACAAGCCATAAGAAACAGCTATTCCAACAAAGATTAGCTGTATAAGCTCCCAGCTTCTAGCGTGGAGGGTTTGGTTAATGAAATCAGGCGCTAAAGAAGGGAAGAATGGGAGCAGAACTAGAAAAACTGTAACAATGGCGGATTTGTAGAGAAATTGGCTGAAGGACTTACTTTGATTTTTCGACGATGATGAGAATTCTTCGTGGGCTGGCTTTTGGGGTTTGGTAGTGAGAGAAACTTCGTCCGCCATTGAAGAAGAATTACAGAGGGAAATGGGAAAGATGAGGAAAATGGGAAAGATGAAGAGAGAGAGAGAGAGAGAAGAAGCCTTCGGCACTAAGTATTTGAAAAAGTAGAGAGAGAGAGAGAGAGAGAGATGAGGAAAAAAGGTTTGGGAAGTTGTGAGCTTGTTTCAAGCTATGCTTTTCTTCTATCTTTTTCCAGCCCCGTTTGAGTTGTTTGACATTTATGCCCCTACTTCTTTTTGTTTCGTTCCATTTTAGTATGAGGGTATTTTGGGTATGAGAGAGGTGAAATAGGTTGCGTGGTTGTGGCCATGATTCTTCTTTTGGACTGCGTACGCTAGCTTTTCTTGATCCATTTTCAATTTTTTTTTTGTTTATGTAATTTTTGGAGGCTATCCTTTTCTTCTTATACTCTATCCTCCCCACATTCTTCAATTCCTCATTTTGAATTGTCATTAAGATGCCCCCAAAGGATGTGGATTATATATATATATATATATATATATATATATATATATATATATATATATATATATATATATATATATATATATATATATATATATATATATATATATATATATATATATATATATATATATATATATATATATATATATATATATATATATATATATATTTTGCA